CTATCCCCCCCCCCCCAACCGTTTCCCGACCACCGTTCAAACAACCGGCAGGGCGCATCAATGAGATAGCACATCGCCACACGCGGTGAACACTACTCCTACTCGGCTCCGGTCGTCCCGCCTCGTCACCCCACGACGCACACAACACACACAATGGCGAGGTTCCTACGCCAATCGGCGCAGCTCTCGCGGGCCGTCAGGCTCGCGCAGCAGCCCATCACACGAATGCGATTCCAGCCGTCTAGAATAGCACGAGCCGGCACGCAAGCTCCGCTAGCTTGCTATCGATCGCAGTTCTACTCGACCAAAGGTCCCGAACCCCCGAAGAAGAATGAAAAAAATCCCAACGAGAAGAAGCCCAAGGGGGAGCAGGGCCCGGCCAAACCCCAGCTGTCAAAGGAGGAACAAATACGGAAGGACTGGCCGCTGCCCGAGGGATGGGTGTACCTCACCGAGGAGGAGCTCGGGATGTTGCTCAAGATGGCCCAGAACGACAAGCTGCCCAAGTTCCAGCAGGAGCTCTTCGTCAAGAGCGTGGAGCAGATCAAGCTGCTCGGGGCCCCTAAGGACCTGCGGGACCTCCTGGCGTCGCTCAAGGAGCGCAAGCTGAAGATGACGGTCGCCGACGTCACCAAGAGCATCCGCGTCGTGGCGCAGGTCGCAAAGAGGGCCTCCGATTACGATTCGACGGTGCTGATGCACGAGCACCAGGGCAAGGGGAAGCAGGACGGCGCCAAGGAGGAGCAGCAAGGCAAGGAGCAGCAGGGCAAGGAGCAGCAGGAGGGACGCAGCAATCAGGAGAGCGGCGAAGGCGGGGCCGGCGGGCCCGGTGGCAAGAAATGGCTCTTTGGCATATTCAGCACCGGCGACCTGGTAATGGCCGCCATCGTCTGGGTCGTCATCCTGCCGTTATTCGAGTCGATCATCTTCGGCAATGAGAAGGAGATCACATGGCAGGAGCTACGGAGGAACTTCTTGGACAAGGGCCTGGTCAACAAGCTCGTGGTCATCAAGAATCCCGGCCGCGTCCGCGTCGAGCTGAACCGTGAGGGGGTGCAGTCGGTTTACGGCGGAAACGAGGGCATCAACCCCAACGTCCAGTACTACTTCTCAATCGGTTCGGTCGAGATGTTCGAGAAGCAGCTCGAGGACGCCCAGAACGAGCTCGGCATCCCGCCCGCAGAGCGCATTCCTGTCAGCTACGCCAGCGAAGGCGGCATCATGCCCCTGGTCTACGCCTTTGGTCCCACTCTCCTCCTGGTCGGTCTTCTATACTACACCACGAAGCAGATGGGTGGCCGCGGAGGCAACCAGATGTTCGGCTTCGGCAAGAGCAAGGCCAAGAGGTTCAACCACGAGACGGCGATCAAGGTCAAGTTCAGCGACGTCGCCGGCATGGACGAGGCCAAGACGGAGATTATGGAGTTTGTCAGCTTCCTCAAGACCCCGGAGCGCTTCGAGAGGTTGGGTGCCAAGATCCCCCGCGGTGCTATCCTGGCTGGCCCTCCCGGAACTGGTAAGACGCTGCTCGCCAAGGCCACGGCCGGCGAGTCCGGCGTGCCCTTCTTCAGCGTGAGCGGCTCCGAGTTCGTCGAGATGTTCGTCGGTGTCGGTCCCTCTAGAGTCCGCGACCTGTTCGCGACGGCGCGGAAGAACGCGCCTTGCATCATCTTCATTGACGAGATCGACGCCATCGGCCGGTCGAGACAGGAGGGCAACCGCATGGGCGGCAACGACGAGCGCGAGGCCACCCTGAACCAGATCCTCACGGAGATGGATGGTTTCAACACCCAGGAGCAGGTGGTTGTGCTCGCGGGCACCAACCGAGCCGACATCCTCGACAAGGCCCTGATGCGTCCCGGCCGTTTTGACAGGCACATCTTCATCGACCGTCCGACCATGAAGGGTCGCCAGGACATCTTCAAGGTGCACCTGGCCAAGATCGTCACCAAGGAGGACATGGACCACCTCACCGGCCGCCTGGCCACACTGACCCCTGGCTTCTCTGGTGCCGACATCGCCAACGCCGTCAACGAGGCTGCTCTGGTTGGTAAGCTTTCCCGCTGAACACTCGCGCTATCGGAGACCGTGCTAACCTCATCGCAGCCGCCCGTGCCAACGCCGAAACGGTGGAGATGATCCACTTTGAGCAGGCCATTGAGCGTGTCATCGGAGGTCTCGAGCGCAAGTCCCTCGTCCTTAACCCCGAGGAGAAGAAGACGGTGGCCTACCACGAGGCCGGCCACGCCATCTGCGGCTGGTACCTCAAATACGCCGACCCGCTCCTCAAGGTGTCCATCATCCCCCGCGGACAAGGTGCATTGGGCTACGCCCAATACCTGCCCCAGGGAGACGCCTACCTCATGACGGTCCAGCAGCTGATGGACCGCATGGCCATGACGCTGGGCGGGCGCATCTCGGAGGAGCTGCACTTCCCGACCGTCACGACGGGCGCCAGTGACGACTTCCGCAAGGTCACCATGATGGCCCGCAAGATGGTCACCCAGTGGGGCATGTCGGAGAAGGTCGGCCCGCTGCACTTTGACGACGACCCCAACACGCTGCAGAAACCGTTCGCCGAGGCGACGGCGCAGGCCATCGACGCCGAGGTGCACAGGATCGTGGACGAGGCGTACAAGCAGTGCAAAGACCTGCTGACGGAGAAGAAGGCCGAGGTCGGCCTCGTGGCCGAGGAGCTGCTGAAGAAGGAGATGCTGACGCGCGACGACCTGGTCCGCCTGCTGGGGCCCAGGCCGTTCGGCGACAACCAGGAGTTTGAGAAGTACTTTGGCGGCCAAGGACAGAAGAGCGCGCCGCCGCCGTTCCCCGCCGAGGAGCTCGACAACCCCCCCGAGCAGCCCCCCGCCCCCCCGGCGCCAACGTTCAAGAGCCTCGATGACGCGCCGAGGAGATGAGACGATGGACGAGGAGCCTACGGACGGCTTACGGTTTCGAAGATGTTGAAAGGGAACGTTTGATTTACACTCTGGCTTCCTCCCCTCCCTACCACCCCCTGCTGAATGAGGTTAATCGCACAGGAGGACCGGCATTCCCACACAAAAAACAACAAGACTCATACCGCAGCGCCGGCCAGTTGTAACTTTTGTTTTCCCGGCCCCCTTTCCCCTCCCCCAATATCCTATTCCCCCTCAAAAACAATAACAAAGGCTCTCTCAACTCTGCTTTTTCCCCTCCCCCCATGGCGGTTGTGTTTGACTAGAAGAGGCATCCTCACCATCGGCGCGGGCCGGAGTAGACTGGGGAGGTTTTGGCTTGAATTATGTACTTGTAGGAACTGTAGATACATCTCTCTTTATGTTTGGGTGTCTCTCTCGCCATGGAAGAAGTGAGAGCGAGAAGGAAGGGACAGAGAGAGAGAGAGAGAGAGAGAGAGAGAGAGAGAGAGAGAGAGAGAGAGAGAGAGAGAGAGAGTGAGAGAGAGAGAGAGAAAATATACCGAATGCCCTTTGCAGAAGGGGGATCAAAAAAATTGACCGGGGCAAACCGCGGTTGCTGCGATGGTGGCTGTGTGTCTACGTGCTGTGATGATCGCTTATTGTGTGACTTGGCGTGGTTGAGAGGAGCACCAGTCATTGGTGGTAAGCGTTCTCGATCGCTTGTATGGCACATCATCTGCAAATAGTCTGAGACATCAAGGACCTAAGAGCCTGGAGAGTCTCCTTTTCCCAAATTTCTTCATCTCGCCCGATGATTCACCGACACCCCAACGTATTCCCCCCGGCCAACACGTCGGCCGTCTTACACCTTAATGACCAGCGGTATGTGCGTATCATCCGTCCATGTGAACGAAGCCTGTGAGTCCGTTGCAGCCCGAGGACGCCATCGAACGACAGACTTGATGAGACTAGATCTCCCGGCGTCGCGTGAGAATGTTCTTTCTCTATGGAACCCGGATCGGGGGGGGTTGAGACATGATACGACCTTGTCGACTTTTGGCATACAAAAAAAAAAAAAAAAAAGAGCCGCGTGACTCGAAGGCTTCCTCTTCTCTCTGCCCAAGCAGAATTCTTGCGCGGCGCAGCCACTGGTTCCGTCCGGGTTACTCAGCGCTCAAAGAGCGGGGGCTGGGCCGGGGGGGAAAGCGGATGAGTGAGTGGTGGCTGCGTAGCTATTACGTAGCTAGGAGATTCTCTCCCAATTTCGTTGGAGGCAACTTACTGCACGTGGCGGCTCCCAGCATCGGCGGGCGGCTGCTGACTCAATGAAGTCACGGTTGCGGAGTGAGAGGCGGGCGACGACGGGATGGCTTTGGGGGGAGAAAACTTCCCGTCGACTGTGCGTTTCCCTCGTGCCGCGCATGACGCGACTATTCAAGCCGGAAAACCTCCCGTGTATCGCGGTTTACAAGTCTCAAGATTAAACACCATCCGTGGTGGAGAGAACAAAGAAGGTCCAGCCAGGCGGGGGCCTTATCTTGACTTGTCGTCCCTTCGAGCCAATCTCGATTGGGCATTTGCATCGAAGAATTCCCCGTCAAGCTTCGCCTTCCCCTGCCATTTTCCCACCCCACTCCTCCCTCCTTCCACCCCCGGCCCCCAAGTCAACTCTTCCGAACCGGGACTACCTACCTAGCGCATTTCCCTCCGTCATTGGGAGGAACCTCGAACTACAACTTTTAAATACTGTCGCAGCCCGCCACTTGGGGAAGGGGAGGAGTTCATTTTCGCAGCGTTGTCAATTTGCAGCCGGCCACCGATTTGTTCTCGATAGTCGGACTCTTGGGCTTTTTTTTTTTTTTTGCCGACATGATCGCACATTGTTCTCTACTCGCGCATCGGTTAAGTTGTTTCTTCCCCCAGTTGTTTTTGCAGCTTTTAGTCGTTGCGCCTTCATTCTCGTCGCACTGCGGAAGCGTCCGCGATACTTTCGGTCTTGTTGCCCTTGCCGAAGTAACGCCCAAACAGGAGGGCGACGGTCCGGATACCAATATCCCTTCCCCTCCGGTCTGAACGACCCCGTCTTCCGGCCCGACGACGACCATGGCTCCCGACCCCGATGACAAGTCAGTCCTGCCGACGCGCCGCCCTTCACCCGGCAGCCTTGACGCCACCCGGGCCGACGCCAGCGGCACCGGCTTCGCCCGCAACGCCCGTTCCCGCGGCGCCGGCTGGTGGAAGGTGAAGCTGTTCCGCGGTATGGTCAACGACGTACGCCGCCGGGCCCCCTTTTACGTCAGTGACTGGGTCGACGCCTGGGACTATCGTGTGGTGCCAGCTACGGTCTACATGTATTTTGCAAAGTACGTAAGCCTTGTCGTCTTCCGTTCCATGCTCTGGGGCAACTGTCGTCTATGATGCCGGCCCTCAACCTGTCCGTCTGTTGAATGCCCCCTTTTCGGGTTCCTTCGTCGCCGCTTGCTGCCCCTATACAAGCTACCTCAAGCAAAGGCCGTCGGCTAACGTGTCCGTCTCCCAGCATTCTACCGGCGTTGGCCTTTTCTCTCGACATGTTCACGAGCACCGGCTCGACGTACGGCGTCAACGAGGTCCTGCTGGCCTCTGTCCTCGGCGCCGTGGTCTTCTCCCTGCTGGCGTGTCAGCCCCTGGTCATTGTCGGCGTCACCGGCCCCATCACCGTCTTCAACTACACCGTGTACGACATTGTCAAGCCGACCGGCATCAACTACCTCGCTTTCATGTGCTGGATCGGGCTGTATGTGCCAGCCCCCTTAAACCCCCCCTTGACGAAGCGTCTGCTGACACGGACACCCTAGGTGGTCCCTGGTATTCCACTGGATTCTGGCCGTAACCAACTCGTGCAACTGGCTACGCTACGTGACGCGGTTCCCCTGCGACATCTTTGGCTTCTACGTCGCCTTCATCTACCTCCAAAAGGGCATCCAGGTGCTCGAAAGGCTGGGCGACGCCGAACCCTTCTACCTCTCCATCGTCGCCTCGCTGCTCGTCTTCATGGTCGCCTACGCCTGCGCCGGGCTCAGCGGCAGCGGCCTGTTCCATTACCACGTGCGCGTCTTCCTCAAGGACTACGGCACGCCCCTGACCCTCATCTTCTTCACCGGCTTCGTCCACATTGGCAGGATGGAGCCCGTCCATCTGGAGGTGCTTCCGACCGGCATCGCCTTCATGCCGACGACCGACAGGAGCTGGCTTGTTCACTTTTGGGATATCGACGTCGGAGACGTCTTCCTGGCCATTCCATTCGCCATTCTGCTGACCATCCTCTTCTGGTTCGACCACAATGGTAAGCCCCCGCTGTGAATACACACGAGGACATCATCCTGACACAAGCGCACACAGTCTCCTCCCTGATCGCGCAGGGGACCGAGTTCCCGCTGAAGAAGCCGGCCGGGTTCCACTGGGACATTTTCCTGCTCGGCCTGACGACCGGCGTCGCCGGCATCCTGGGCCTCCCTTTCCCCAACGGCCTCATCCCGCAGGCCCCGTTCCACACCGAGTCCCTGACGGTCAAGACGTCGCACGCCGAGACGGACGAGAAGGGCGAGCTCAAGGGCAGCCATGCGACCAAGGCCTCGCACGTCGTCGAGCAGCGCGTCTCGAACCTGGCACAGGGCCTCCTCACGCTCGGCACCATGACGGGGCCCCTCCTCGCCGTCCTGCATCTGATCCCCCACGGCGTACTGGCCGGCCTCTTCTTCGTCATGGGCGTCCAGGCGCTCGAGGGCAACGGCATCACGCTCAAGATCCTCTTCCTCCTGCGCGACGGGGCGCTGACCCCGCCGGGCCACCCGCTGAAGCGGATCCGCCGCCGCGCCATTTGGGCCTTCGTCGCCGTCGAGCTCGTCGGGTTCGGCGCCACCTTCGCCATCACCCAGACCGTCGCCGCCGTCGGCTTCCCCGTCTTCATCATGCTCCTCATCCCCGTCCGCGCCTGGCTGCTGCCGCGGTGGTTCTCGCCCGAGGAGCTCGGCGCGCTCGACGAGCCCACGGCGTCGCCCTTCACGATGGAGGGAATCGGCGGGGTCTACGGCGGGGCGGACGCGGGCGACGACTCGGACGGCACGCGAGTGTCCGGGCACGGCGACGGTGTCCTTGCGTCGGCTGCTGCTGCTGCTGCGCCGGTGATGAGCCGGGATGGTGCGGTGGAGCTGGGGCAGTTTTGCAGCGTGGAGAGCGCGGGCCGGACCACGAGAAGAGTGGGGCAAGCCGCCGCGGCTGACTGATGCCAGTGCTGAGGAGGTGTTGCATAGGTACTTACGTATGCCGATAGATGGTGTATTTAATATGTTAAATAGGTGGTATGGCAGTAACATACAGCGGCATGGATCAAGTACAAGCATTTCGAACAATATCACGTTGCTATCACAAGCATTCCATCGGCTTTGGTCGCCTTCAGCTCTCTCCCTGTATGCCGGGCAAGGCGCTTCACTCGAAGGGCTGTTCGAGATGTGTTAACTTGGAGGCAGCGATCACATCCATTGGTTGTGTCGTGTAAGTGTGCGCATGTATAGACTGCCCAGGGTAATCGATTTCATCTGCGATCCCTCCTGGCTGCTCTTAAGCCCTCGACTTTCTAACTGGTATATGCAGCTAGACGCATCCGGGTTTTCCAATGTCCTCATTACCTTGGCCGCATTTCGATAGCCGTCTCTTCATTCTGGCAGGAGTGAAACCATTTGCTTAACCCTTGCGTTCTGTAAGCCAAGAAAACGGCCTGGTTAAGCGGCACCATCCTTCCATCGTCTCCGTGCCTTCGTAACCGTCTTCTTCATATCCTATCCGACTGGGAAGCAGTAGCCAGCACCGAGTACACATTCATTATCCAAGGGACCCCTTCCCAAAGGTCCGGCATTCAGACAGCGTGAACGCATCTGCAGAACGATGCCCGTTTCCAATGGGGAATTCTCGGTATGCCGCGTTCGAACAAGCGGAAAGCTATGTTCGAGGGCCGGAGCAAACGGAAGTTGGCCACAAACCCGAACCACTGTTTCCTTGAGGCTTGGTCAGCCACCAACAGTAGCTGGAGCATGACGATGCGTGCAAGAGGCTGTGATATGTGACCGCTTGATTTTGGAGTTGAATGCCACTCCTCTTCACATGACTCTGGACGCACATGCAATGCAATCCTTCTCGAGCCATTCTCGTTCGAATTTGGGCCTAGACGTAAATACGTTGCTGTTCTGTCCTATGACCGGGTCTCCTCTGCCGGAGGATGGCTTTGAAGCTCTCGGCGAGCCCGTTCCAACAACTCCTCTCTCCAGGCCGAAAGGTCAGAGATGGTGGAAATCGTCTCTGGATGGTTCGAACCAAGGCGTTTCTGCCTGCGGCGTGCGCAGTCCTCCATCAGCATCGAGGCGTCGTCCCGTCGTCCTTGGCCTCTCCATGTGTGTGCCGGGTTGCTCATACTGACGAGCGTATTGGGATGCTCCTCGCCGAGCACCCTCTTTTCTATCTCTATCACCCTCAACAGTAGCTCTTCTGCCTCCTCCCACCGACCCTGGCGGTTATATATTGACGCTAGATTATTCATACTAGTTAGTGTACTATGATGCTCCTCGCCAAACACTCTCCTTCTTGTCTCTAGCACTATCACTTGTAACTCTTCTGCCTCCTTCAGCCGACCCTGGCCCTGATATGTTGACGCTAGGTTGTGCATAGTGACTAGCGTATCGGGATGCTCCTCGCCGAGCATCATCTTTTCTATCTCTAGCTCATTCACCAACAGCTCTTCTGCCTCGGCCCACCGACCCTGATTCCAATAAGTCATCGCTAAGCTGTTTATACTGCTCAACGTGTAAGGATGGTGGTTCCCGAATCCTCCTTTAAGCAGCTTTAAGGATTCAGATGCACTCTGCTCGGCATCTTTCCATCGACCCACATACGTTAAGTAGGCGCCAATACAGTGCAAAAGTTTTGGTCTACAAATATTGCTCTCTTGAAAATCGGTTGCCTTGATTCGGAGCAGCGCGTCGGCGTGCGGAAGGCAGTCCCGGCAAAGATGGCGATTTTCGTGAACACCATGCGGGTATGCGCGTGACAAAACCTCAAGAGCTTGGTCCACATACTGAGCCAATCTGTCGTGATTTTCGAGCCATTCCCGAGTGACTAGCTGCACCAGCCGATGCATATCGATGGTGCGGTCTTTTGCCTCAGATATAAATGAGAAGGCCTTCAGTGTCCCCAAAGCCTTTGTGACTTTGGATGTGCTGACGCCTTCCCCTGACCTTTTGTTACAGAAGTCGACTATGAACTTCTCAGGAACTGCTTGGCGGTCCAGGAGGCTGGCGAACGACAGGATGTCGCTGGCAAGGGCATCCTGGCGCTGGATTTGGTTGAACGATATGACCCATGTAGCCGTGACTGCGTGTGGCGTTTCTGAGTCTCTGCCCACTGTTTCGAAAGGTTCGCTCAGTTGATCAACCAAGCTGTCGTCGCCTTCCTCTAGGAGTTCGAGGTACTTGGAAACTGGAATGCTGTTCTCTTGCACGAATGCGGCAGCCTGTGCAAGAGCTAGCGGCAGATGCTCCAGCTGAGAAGAGAGGGTTGCCAACTCCTCGGCAGAAACCTCGTCTTCGTCGTCGAGTATTTGGTGTATGAGCCGTTGTGCCTCGCTCTCACTCATCTCTCCTATTTCGATAAGTGATTTCCCGCGCACAATCTTTGACGCCACTTGCTTGTTCCTCGTCGTGATGAGGACACACCCGTGGGCACACTCAGGGACGTAGCGGCCTAAGCCGCCTTTCAGGTTGCTACTATTCTCGGAAGGCGGTGGGAAGAACAGCTGTGCATCGTCGGCGTTGTCAATGACCATGAGCCACCGGCCACAATCCTGTCCCTCCAGCCAGGTCTTGACGAGTCCAAGCACGTCAGCCCAAGGATCATTGTGGCCCGGGACGTTACACTCTTGAGCAATTCTGGAATAAGACTGGCTAAATCGGTCGGCATTGCTTGCAAGCACCCAAAATACCGACAGATCAGGGTGCTCATGTCGTAGCCAAAACGCATAGGTAATGGCTATTTGTGTCTTTCTGCATGAGGTTAGATAATGTCGGGACTCGTAAATGATAGCTCACAGTACCCAATGCCACCAAGCCCATGAAGCGCAACTCTCGAGCGTGGTTTGTTAGTTTAATCTTGGCTCCAGTCATGTCCGAAGAGCTGTTTTATTCGATCAAAAACATCCAATCGATCTATGAAGTCTGGGTTCTCAATGTACGGGACGAGAACTTGGATGTGTTTGTTGTTCAAGGCCTTGTAAGCGGGGCTTGTTACTCACACCACGTGCGTGCAGCGGATGGGCTGTCCGTTAGCCTGTACTGTTCGAGGAGTGCTTTTGTCATCGAAGCCGCCGCAGCTGCAGCAAAATCCTGCCATGTCTTATTTTTGTGACTGTCCGCGTAGTCACAGACTGATTTGACGACGATACACGGAAACTCGTCCCATATGCCAGCCCCCTCCATCTCAAAGGCGACGAGGCCGTGCTCCTTGGCGATTCTGTCGCGGTCTAACCCGGCCTTCAGGCGGTCATCTGCAGCGTCCGGACGTTTGTAAAGGTCCTGGCACTCTTTGTGTGCCATCTGCTGCACCTGCTCCAAGACTCGGCTGGCTCGATGCTGCAGGCGGCTGCGGCCAAGACGCGTCTCCAAAAACGCGATAAGGGTGCGGACTTCCCAGCTGGGTCTCCCGAGGCTTTCTTCGATAGTGTCTTTTAGGACGAACTTATCGGTATACTTGCGGCCCAGGTCGCACTGCAAAACGCTCTTGCTGATGACCACGTCCCCGAGAAAAAGCTTGTCCTTCGTCCCAGGGCTCGGTACGCCGCCGCAGATGCCACATAAGATGGCCAGCTTGATGCCGGCGTAGCTTGACTGAAGCCTGGCCGCTGCGCCTGTCGCATTGACCTTTCCCATGCCGGGGAGGAGGAGCACAACGACGTTGTGGCTCCCCATACGGCCGGTTGTGTACAGGGTGCTGTGCCCTGGAGCGTTTGCCGGCCGACCGTCATCGTCTCCCCAGATCTCGTCGAAGGCAAAGGTGACAGCATCATATTCGAGAGGCAAGGCGCATATGATTGCGATTTGGAAATCCTCACGCCGGCGAGCTCGAGCGCGACCGGTCACGACAGCTCATGGAGGGGTCCCGATGACCAAATGGTTCTTGCAGTAGCGACAGTAACGGCAGAAGCAATCCTTGAGCGTATTCATGAGGCGAAGGGTTGCCCGCTTGTCATCCTTGTTTGAGGGGTTTCCGACGTGCTGCCCCACCCAGGGTCAAGATATGTCAGAATCAGGCCGGCGCGTCGTCAGGTAAGCTGATTGGTTCACCTCATCAGCTGCGCCGCTCTCGTGTGGCTACCTATTACCCAGCGGTCAAAATTCTCACGGTATAGCAGAGTTGTCAACGGTTGAGATGAAATATACATGTTATGCCTCTCTTGGTAAAGACTACAACCAGGGGCGAATAAGCACATTTGCAAGGTGTATGCACAGAGTGTGGATGCTGAAGTAACCAGACACAAGAAGCGCATATCGAGGAACCGCAATTTCATGAGTGCATCTACCTTCAACCAACCTCAGAGCGTGTGCCCGTCTCTCGGTCACTCACTCTGAGGCAGATGCAGTGTAGCATGATAGGGAAGTATACCCATACTTAGCTAGCCCCGCCAGCCCGTTTAGGCAAGCTGAGAGTTTGTGATTGGACGCCGGTGTGAAGTGAAAAGGGGGCGTTTGTTGTGATTGTTATATTGTCGAGGGAGAAGAAGGTCATGCTTTCGAAGCTGTGTTTGTGCCCAGCTTTGGCATATTGTTGGCAACTTGTTGTAGGGTCTTGCTGATTACAGGAGGAGAAGGAGCCCTGGAGTTGACCATTATTAAGCGGAGTTGGTGTCTAATTAGACGTTGGAATTAAGGATGCGGCGGAGGTCAGTGCGCACCACACTTCCTCCTCTGCCCCCTTCCCAACTCCCGACTCCAACCTCTCTTCCGCACTTCATACATTTGGGGAAAACACTTCGTAACAACCCCAGATTCCAGCCGACGTCAACCCCTTTGGGTCGGAGGAGTATCCAATATCATGCACTGCAACCCATCGCACCTGCTGCCGACGCGCAGCTGATCATGGTAGCCCGTGGTTATCGCTCCCCGCAGGAAGAAAACCACGTCCATCTCTTACCAGATCGAGCATCGCTGTGCCGTCACGGGCTGAAGAGTCGACGCAGCCAAGCCTTCCATCTCGGAGAGAAATCTTCGAGAGCCGAACTTTTCCCATCCGGCATACGAGAACCGACTTCATGCTTCAGCCGGTCCCCACCTCCGGTCTGGTTCCTCTCCGTGCGCCCCGTCAGCGGGAGCCTGCAGTGCAGGACAGCTTCCGTTATTGGCCTGACCCCAAGCCAACCCTGTCTATAACATGAGCCCGGAGGGTGTCTGCGCTGCTGCTGCTCTCAGGCCTGTCGGCAACGTCCTCCGCGACAGGACCGTCCTCCTGCAGGACGAGCTGATTTTGGTCTCGGCCCTCACCACCACGGGACCTCTACCCATTCCCAGAGCCAACAAAAGGCCCCAGACCGACCTGTTCAGTCGTGATACTCCCTTGCTTACATACCCCGCATCATATAGCGCGATGCTACGCAGACCCAGGGAGGCATGGAGGCTGTACCCTCGAAGTTCGGCTCCACCTATCACACCCGCCGTCTCTGCCGTCGGCCGTCTCCCTCCGGGTAAACACATCGAGCCAAGCGTCACTCACCAACAACACTCGCCCGATCCCACGGTGCGGAAACTAGTCGTCTTGGCCCAGCCTCCGTACGAGCTAACCCTCCCTATCCGTCATAACAAGGTCTGCGTTCCCGCCGTGGCATCATGCATTTCTTTGCCGCCACCGTTCCTCTGTGGCACTTCGGTGAGCTTGTCCGCACACCCCCACCTCCCTCGAAGACGACTGTAACCAAGCTTTGCAGTCATCTCACGTTGGGCTGGCTCGCTGGCCCGGTTTACCCTCGTGGATGGCAGCCGGTCAACACGTCGCAGATGAGATAATCCGGGATCACAGTACATGCCACCATCTGCCCATGCTTTCATGCGTCACAAGGTTATATGAACGGTTCTCGGGGACTTTGGTGCTTAAGCTCGATGCTACGCTCCCCATGATTGAGCCACCTCCCGGGGCTGAAGCCAAAGTCGGGACGGCGTCGTACCGCTCGCGACCACCGTGTAACCCTCGATGCGGTCCCTTTACGCGGGAACGACCTCGATATACTGGTGCTTTCCCCGGCGTACTGATCCATGTGCGACGTTGGATGGCTGGGAAGCCGGAACAGCAGACGCTGGCAAAGCTTCTTTGGTTTTTTTTTTTTTTTTTTGTCTTCAAATCTCCGTTCTGTCGTACGGCACGAGGTGTAACCCCTGTCGCGTGAACTACCGTGGCTGCCGCAGATTGTCTCTTTTGACTCCTTCGCCTAGATGTATACGGCCGAGAGGCTTAGGGCCAGCGTCGCAAGAAGTCTCATCCAAGGTCCACCCCGACATGAACATTGTGTCTCTGTGCACAGCACTCGCTCGACATTCTCTGCGTGGCGATGCTACGCTGATGTCTGAGGTCTCCGGGACCACGCGGTGCTGGTTAATGGATGTCGTGGCCCGTGGACGATCTAGAGGACGCGGATCTGTGCAACGTCGGGCGTCTCCCAGAGGTGGCACCGCTGTACTAGCATCTTGTGCTCGAGGTGGCGGCCATCCTCTTGCCAGTCCGTCCCTACCGCTGGCTGAACCCAATCAACAGGACCCGTCATTTTGCCTCATGATGTCTGGCCGAGCGGCGTTACGTGCATGTAGCACCAGCATGCAAGCCAGTCGCCGCCAGCACCACTGCAAGCGTCGGCAGGCCAATGATGGACCGGAAACCTGTCTGTCAAGAGCAGAGCCCCTTTTCGCCCAGTTGGCTTTCTACCCATTCAGGCGGCAGGCGATGCTACACGGGACTGTAACGTGCAAAAGTGCCACGGCCGACGGGTAATGGATCCTCGGCGGTCACCAGCAGCGCGCCATCAAGAGCGATTCAGCCCTCGAGCAAGCACCCGGGACAGAACGCGGGGCCAGAACATGCCATCTCGTGAACCATGGTGTCTCCTTCCCTGAGCGAACCGGCTCACCCAGTCGTCACCACACCCGTGGGGGCTGATTTGTACTTCCTTTTTGCCGATGCAAAGTACTACCGGTGCCTGCGGTTGTGTCACATCGTCTCGTAGCATCGTCGACAATACCAGCGCGGAGGGGTGAGAACAGCCCTCCACGTCGCAAGACGGCAGGACGTCAGAAACATAGCCCAAACATTGTCTCTCCTCGCTCCCTCCCCATGGAGCGAGACCTCGACTGCTCGCCGTCTGGTCGGCCCTGCAGTCAACAGCCGCCGCCGGGCTAATACCAAACGTAGCCGGTTGTACCGCCGAACCCCGGTCGAGCGAGTTGAGGGCGGGGGGGGGGGGGGGGGGGGGGATGAGGCACAAAGTGTGCTGCGACGTGACGAGTCCAAGATCTCCCTCTCGTGTCTCGCCTGGTGTGCAATAATTTTCCCCCGGAGCGACGTCCGCTCAGATGAAGCTCCGGCGGGAAAAGAGGCCGAGGTACCAAGGGGAGGGGGGGTGGGACGCTGGACCTGACCACGTCGTGAAGCACGCGCCATCTCGGCCGGGCCGCCCGCTGCCTTTCTGGACAACCCGGGGAAGAGTGCACACGGGGAGGAATGGGGGTATTCGGTCGGCGGAGGTGTACACCGTGCCCAAACCATCGTTTCAAAAGTGTCACTCGGCTCAAATTCCCTCCGACTCGAGGTCGTAGAGGAGGGGGAGGGGAGCGATCGACCATGGCTCCAATCCCTCACCCTAAAGCAGAATCACAGAAGAGTAACTCGCCGTGTCTTAGTCGCCGTTCGTCGCTTGAATCAGGCTCGCGCCGTCTCTGACGAGCAGAAGGGGATCCCGTTCCACCCCCCCCCCCTATATTGCCAAAGAACCACGACACGCGACCACTCTGGCGGTTCTGCGTGACAAGCGAATGACAGGACGGGGGGGGGGGGGGGGGGGTTCTACTACTGGTGATATCAACTGCGTGCGTGAGTGGCATGCGAAGCTGTCAATGACACGATCAAGGTTATGGATGATGCGCGAACCCTCCCCTTGGCGGGTCTTTTTTTCTGCCTTCTTTTTTTCTACCTTCTTTTTTTCTACCTTCTTTTTTTCTGCCTTGTTTTTTTCTGCCTTGATTTATTTTGACTTTTGTTGTTTCGTTACTTTTCATCTTAGAATATCTGGCTTCCTCCCCCCCCCCCCCCCCCCACACCTAGCATTCCCCTGCAGTCCTTTTTTCCCAATCGTCACCTCCGTCATGTTCTGGGGGTCCTCATGTATATACATACGTACGTAGCTTACTGAACCCTGGCCTTCCCCCTTCCTTTCACCCCAATGGAATCACATACGCAAACAAACAAAGACAGCGCAAGCACCCGGGTACCGCGCGAGACGACCCGAGTCTCCAGTATAGCAATTTTTAAATAATAATAAAAAAATTCAGAGAGAGAAGGAGGCGGGGATATGTGACAAGAAGCAGTATCAATGATGGGGAACGGGAGGGAAAACGTCCCCTCCCTACCTTTCTGAGTCGTGATGCTGTTGGTCAATGACCCCCCCCTCCCCGACGGTGACATAATGTGACGTGAAGTGAAGGTTATTCGGGGGGCCAGGAAGCGTGGGAGAGGCTAATGGTGTGGACGTGGCCGCCCGAAAACCCTAGATTGGCCCGGAAGGGAAGAAGAGGGGGGGGGGGCGGACACTCGTGGGCGGACTGTCGCAGTGGCAAGGTTCATCCCTAAGGTTCATCCTTTGGAAAGCAATGGCATCCAGTTACGTGTTGGGTAGGCGGGGGTATCTCATCGGGATATGACAACCCAAACAAGATACGTGATCCCGTTTAGGGGGGGAAGGCACACCGAGAGAACGGATGGATCCGGAGGACGCACGGAAATAGAAGAAAGGGTTCCCCTGTATACATATTTGGGATGAAAATGAATGGAAAAAGCTATGTGCATGTTTTTGTGAAGAGAAGAAACAAAGACCAAGCTTGGAAAGAAGAATGTCGTCAACAAGATGAATAGATAACAAGACGTGGAAACAAAAATACAAGCGCAAGAGAGTCGTGACATTGAGCAGCGCGCTCGCCCTTTCTAAAACATGAAAAGCAAATTGTTCCTCCGGATTCCCATAGAAAAACAAATAACCAATTCCGAACGTTCCATTCCCCCCTCCCTATATGCTCTCTGCCTGCCTTCCTTTCCTTGCTTCGCTCCAGGGTATCTTTTGACCTATTCAAATGCGTACGGTCTTGAAAGGGGATGAAAATAATGTTTTTTTTTGTCTTTCGTTCGTTCATTCGCTCATACTGGGCTCCCGTAGGCCTGGGGGCCGGGCGCAGGTCCGGATCAGGCCGGTGCTCCGCCCGAGTAGCTCCTTTGCCTCCTGAGCGCGGCAAAGTCGTTGCCGTAGTCATCGGCCCGCTTGGCAGGCTGGCTCTCGTGGTGCGTGGGCATCGGTCCGCCGCCGCCAAAGGTGTCGCGCATCGGGGTCCTCACGTTGGACGAGTTCATGCTGGCGTGGAAGGCCTGCGTGAAGTCGTGGGGGGCAGCGATCGGCGCGCTCATCTGAGGCATCGAATAGTCGTGGACGCCACCGGATCGGTTCCCGGGGGTGCGCGGCAGGGAGAAGTCGACGGGCGCCGTGAGCGGGGCCGAGGGGAAGCTGGAGGTGTAGGCGGTGGTCGTGGCGAATTGGGTCGAGATGCTGCGCGGCGCGGAGCCGTGGCTGGCAGACTGTCCCGAGCCGATAGAGCGGTACTGGTTGTGGAGGTCGAGGCCTAGAGTGCTCGACGACGCGCGGCTGCGGAGACGGGATAGCGGCCCCTGTGAGAAGCTCGAGTAGTTCAGGCTAGGAGGCGAGCCTGTGCCTATGCGATTGTTAGCATCTGTGGCCGCGGCGGCGAGATACGATGATGGGGCTTACCGGAGTACGAGCTCGACTCGTAGGGGAGACCGCTGCTCGATGGGCCGTTCACCTGCTCGGGCTGGTAAAGCGACTGTTGTCTTCCGCTGAGCGGGGGGCTTGCGCCGGGTCCGTGGTTGTATGTGTTGAAGTCAAGGGCGTCGCCCTTCCACGACATGCTGGAGCGCAGAGGGGACTGGATGTCCTGCCTCGACCGGGACATGGTTTCCCTCAGCTGAAGGGGCTGGAGAGAACGGCTCGGCTGGCCGCGATGCATGGACATGGAGTTCTCGACAGCGCCCTGGCGTGCAAAGGGGTTCGACGTCCGGGGCCCGGGGCCCATGGGCGTGAGGTGGCTGCCGTATCCGTAGCGGTGGTCGCCGGTCGAGCTGGGCGTCATGGGAGACAGGACGTCGGCGGTGTTCATGTTTCCCGCTGAGGCGAATCCGATGCCCCCGAAGCCGGGGCTCATGCCCGAGTTCGACATCTGCTCGTCTCCGCCGTCTGGCCTGCGGACGTCGACCATCAGGGGACGGATCATGTGGTCCGCGTACGACTGGGTTCCAAAGTTCATGGGCGACGATAGGGGCGTGCTGACGCCATGGACGGCACCATAGGGAGAGTGGAGTGCCTGGACGTTGTCAAAGTCGTCGGGGACAGCACGCATCTTGATCATGCGGTCCCGGTCATCGGCTGTGAGACGCTTGATCTTGGCGCGACTGGATGGGGTCATGAATCAGTTTCTTGTCGTATCTAGGACAGGTCGTGACGAAGTACTCACCGATTCTGGAACCAAACTTGGACTTGGCGGGGACTCAGCCCGGGAATCTCTCTAGACAAACGCTCTCTGTGAGCGGCATCAGGGTGTGGCTGCTTGGCGAACTCGCTCATCAGAAACCGTGTCTGCTGGTGTGTGAGACTGTCTTCATGTTAGCGCACTGGTTGCCGTGGGGGGTCTGTTCGTGGTCCACCAACCGGAATCGCTTCATCTTCCTCCTTGCCGCCGTACGCTCGGCAGCAGTCTGAGGGGTGCCGTCGCCGTCATCAAGCATGTCGTCGTCTTCAAGCGCGTCTTCATCTGACTCCTTGCTCGTGTTTGCTTCGTCGTTATCCATGCGAGCCGCGGCGGTCTCGGTCTCCTGCTCCGGGGTGGCCATCATCTCGGCGGCCTTCTCCAGGGGTTGCGATGCCTGACGCTGTTGCTGCTGCTGCTGCTGCTCTCGTAGCCTGTCTTCAGGCTCGTCCTCAGGGGTGGGCTGCTTCACCAGACGGAAGGCGGCGTTGTGCTCTTGCTTTCCTTGGCTGTGTGCCTGTGTGCGTGCGCTGGCAGGAGTCCGAGGCTGTGTGGATTCCGTAGACTCATCGCCAGCACCGTGCGCTTGGGAGAAGATGTTGTCCTCGGAGCTGGAGAGGTAAGTGTACTGCTGTCCCTGCCACTCGGGAGGCGTTGGCAAGGTGGTCTCGTACTGGTCGTCCGACATGCGTGGAGGAGTTGTGGGCGCCTTGTTGAGGGGGGTTTCAAATTTGCTATAAGACCAGTGGCTCTGCTCAGTGGTGTCGAACTGCCTGGAGACGAGCATTGGGAAGGATGGTGAGGGTGCAGGTTTATGGTGAGGGTGCAGGTTTCTGGAGATGCTGTCTTGTTTGGGGATGACGCAGAGACGGCTTGGGTCTCTTGGAGGTCGTCCTACAATGGCCGGCTCGAGGACAGACGGGGGTGGTCTGGGGAAGGAATGAAGCTCCAGCTTCCTTGACGAAGCTAATTCCAAGGTTGGATGAGCTGATCAGTGAAGAACCCAAGCAACCGATAGTGGCAATATAGGATAGTCGGGGATGATGAGTGGGTGTTGCAAGTGTAAACAAGGTGAGAGAGAGAAGGGCGAAGGCTGGCTCAAAGTGATGACGGCAAGTCTGGGAGTCTGGTCTTTAAGTTGGAGGGCCGAGACAGTCCTTATTATGCAAGTTGATCAAAAGAGTGAGAGAGTGATGTGTGGATGCGTCCAGGTGGTATTGTGAAGAAAGAAGAGAAGCTGATGAGGAAGGAAGAGAGAACTTGGCTACCCCGGGTACCACGAGGCAGGATCGATCATATATTGTACAAATTTGAGGGTGCGCCGAGTGATGGTATGGCGGGGTCGATCGACTAGGAGGCGTTACTGGGCCTGGAACCGGTAGGCCCCGTCGTGTATGGTAAGTAAGGCAGTACTGTTTGGGAAACCCTTGCCACATAGTACGGCAGAGGTGGAAATAATAGCAAAGTGTACGGCCATCCACACGGAGAAATGTCGAGGCTGGATCCGGACTGGACTGAGGAGAGACAGAGCAGGGCCAGCACGGGCAGCAGCAGCGGCGGCGGCGGCCACGACGGGCACGACGGGGGTTCGTCAAGGGCGTCCGGTACCTGACTGGTGGTGTCGAGTAGGGGGGAGGGGGGGGGGGGGGGGGGAGGGTACTGCGGTACTCTGAGGTGTGCTCGTACAGTCGCGGTGGAGAATGGACAGGTTGAAAGGGGACCCGATGCATGGTGGGAGGCTCGCCGACTCGAGTGAGAAAAGCCGCAGCAGCAGCTCATGTGCCCATGCCATCCATGTCATGACAGGCCATGCCAAGCTGGTGGGCATTTGGCATGGGGTGTCGAGCTTGCTGCTGTTCCTCGCCGCCGCCGTCGGTGTTGACGGCAGGCCCCCCAGGTCCCAGGCGGCTCCCCCGGCATAGACATGGGTGTGAACGAAGGTGTGGATTTGGGCAGATGTGGATATGGGTTTGGACGGGGGGACCAGGGGGGATAGACAGGAACAGTCAGTCAGTTGGTGGGGACAGCAGCAGCGGCAGTATCCATCATGTCGTTGCAAGATGCTCTGCTGAGCCACACGAGCATCTGTGCGTGGTGCACATGTGGTAAGGGTGGTGATATTTCTGTCCGCCGACGGCTCCTCCACCTTGTTCGCAAAGAAAAGAAAAAAAGTTGAGTAGTGTCATAGTACCATGTCTCTGACCATGGTACCTAGTAGAAAATAAATCCTTGGCCAAGCAAAGCCCTGGCGGGGGGGAAGGGGGGGAGGAGGGAGTATGCTCGTTGAATGTGAGCGACGGCCAGACAGACGGGCAGATAATGGTAGTGGCAGCTATAGCCCACCAGGACTTGGCATTAAGATCTTCTGCTGAATGGCGCGACCTGGACCGTGTTGAAAGCTTCCAATTAAGACGGCAGATTTGCTGTCAGCAGCGTACCATAAGAGCAGAGCAGACGACGCCTCCGGCAAGACGGGGTCACCTTGTCTGCAGAGGAACAGAACAGGCAGGCCGTAGCCAATGCCTAAATCAGTCAGTACCTACCCTGCCAGGGCGGTTTTGCAGAGACTGACACGGGGTCAGGCGGGCTCCCCTTCTGTGATAGCTACCTCCATCTCAGGATCAGGCACAGGCATATACAGGTAGGTATCGGCATTGGCATGGCACGTTGTTGTATCATCCCAGGAACGGCCGAACATGTCGGCCAAAATAAACCAAATCTGGCGATACGGCTGTACATTCCCTTCTGGGATCTCTGGGGTCCCTCCCCTCCAAGGGACCGAACCCAGCGTGATTGCACAGGACTGCAGCCCACCCCGACATCCAGCCCATTGCCTCCCGGGGCGACAACCAGGCAGAGGAGCTCTTGCGTCGACCATAGTGAGAGAGATTGGGGGGGAGAGGTGCTCGGCGAAGAAGGGAATCAAGGAGCGAGAGAGGGCATCTCGGCTGGGATATCGGGATGCTGCTCATTGGGCCTCTGCGACATTAGTTCTGTATCGACTCCACGGATGAACGCATGACCGTTGCCGAGGCCCGGCCGAGGCCACTACCAATGGGAAAAAGATTATCGATTAAAAGGAACAGGGGGGGGGGGGTGGTTGTTGTTCTTGTTGTTGGTGACTCTCCCGCCCGCCCACTGTCTGTCCACCTGTCTGTCGCTGACTTGTAGGTAGGTGCTAACAGCCTGAGAAGAAGACAATGGGCGCTGGACGTTGCGAGGGAGGGTGTGGGAGGAAGCGGAACGGCAGCGGTGGAAGGGTAAGGGGTGCGGCTATTGAGTTGGCCGGCGAGAGACCAGGAGTGGGGAAATCTGGTGGGGGAAGAGAGGGAAAAAGAGTGTGAGGGAGGAAGTGAGCAAGGATGGGCGGTAGTGTGTCAGTTGCAAGGGGAGGCATGACGGTGTGTCAGAGGATCCTTCTCTCGCGAAATGCGGCGTACGAGACGCCGCAGCGGCAGCATCGCGAGTGTGTGATGACGAGAGAGTGATGGAGAGAGACAGACTTCTGGCCGATGGACGGGAACCCGCGACAAGTGCAATGGGAGTTCTGTACGAGATGGGCCGAGAACTGGGGGTTATGGAGACGGGAGACACGGGTGATGCAGGGGGCTGAGGTACGTTTGCAGCCATACACACACACACACACACACTCTCTCTCTCTCTCTCTCTCGCTTCGATCGGCGACCCTCTCTCAGATATGGGCGAGGCAAGGGCAGATATGCAGGCAAGGGCAAATATGCAGGCCAAAAAAGGCAGAAATAGATGACGCTTTTCGAGGCGATGGTGCAGGGAGAGAACAGGCTGCCCATGGGCCATGTTGGTGCTCAAGTTTGACTCTTTTCTACATTCTCTCCTTCTCAAGCGGCTGCACCCTGTACGGCCATGTTTTGGTGCATGGAAAGTAGCAGGAACGCGCATGTGTCTCTCCTGCATCTTGCGTGCAGCGGCACGCAGGCACATAGGAGACGGCACAGAAAACGAGAAGGAGGACTCGAGGATTCGGGGAGAGTGGGAACAAGGCGGGATGGATAGGTGGTGGGACACGGGAAAGAAAGCATATGTTCACGCCTTCCCGGCTCTTCCGCCAGGGGAGAGAGACAGGCGGTTCCAATCAAAGTGAAGGCGCTCAGTACCCGATACCTACTACCTAGTAGCAAAGAGCTGGTTTTCTGTGCAAGGAGAAGCTGTTATCGGGACGGACAACAGAGACAGAGGGAGTCGACGAGGGATTGATCTACCTGCAATTTCGTGCCTGCCGAGTGCGATGAGTTGCGCGCCGTGGTTGGCTGCGAAACAACCCCCTTCTCTTCCCCAGCGAGCGCCCGGCGTTTTCTCCGCGGAGTGAGATAATCAGCCCGCTGAACCAAACTCGGCCTGTCGACGATGTGGCAACACCCAGGTTTGGGGTTTTCTCGCCCAACCTGGGTACCCAGGCATGTGAAGCGCACGATTTGAAGGTGCACTCATCGTTGTTTTCTTCCCTTTTTATTTCTTTTTGGCGCCGGGAGCGTCTGCCGCGATCGTAAATCATGGGAAAAAGAAATGAAGAGAAGGGATACCGGGTGGTGGGAGTGAAAAACAGGGAAGTATTGTGAGGAAAGCAGTCAGATTAGCCTCCGGGCATGTTTTGCACTTGCAGCAAGCCTATGCACGGAGGCCTTCTGTTCTTTTTTTTTCCCTCCCCCCATTCAAAATTTAATTGATTCTTTTGTTCTGTAAAATGGATGCATCTGGACTACTAAATCCGATCTTTGAAAAAGAGCATTGCGCCCAATACTCTCCATCACAGACGATGATAGCGGATTCGATTTTCCTGCAACCTTCTCTCTTCCTCTCTCTCTCTCTCTCTCCCCTCTGACGACCAAACCGGCAGTTGAGAAAGAGACTGGAACAATCCGCCGGGGGAGGGGGGAGCATAGGCAAGCGTGCGTGCGAAGCCGAACACAGGCCTGGTCCGGCCCGTCTGCGCAAGCCCCCCACACGCTCCTGTGATTTAATAAGAGGACTAGACATGGCTAATTCCTTCAGAAATTCAAAAATAAAAGACAAGGAGGGGGGGAGGGATGAAAGACAAGAACCTTGCCATGCCACTTCAATCTATGCCGGGCTGAAGAGGTGCCTTGGTTGTCAATGCCGTGAGGCGGGTGGTGACGTGCGGGAGAGAGGCACAACCTCCCACTGGACTGACTACACAATGGTGCGAACGCCGGGCGTCAGGGCCGCGAGCAGGGGGCACCCGGTCCTTTACGCGGCAAGACTGATCTTGGTTGTAGACCAGAGAAGAAGAAAAAAACGCATCTCCAAGTAGAGTACGGACGCCGACCTGCAAGCATCGGATGCGTGGGTGCGTTGCTGACGGTACAGACTGAGCTACGCACAAACAAGGTTTGACCCAAGGCGGTACCATCATCTCCATTCGTCTCCACCCCCCCACCAGGGAACCCGCCCAGCGAATTTTGAGAAGGAAAAAAAAAAAAAAAAGGGAGCCGTAATGTCCGAGGGAAAGGCAGCATGAGAGAGACAGAAAGCTAAGAAAAAGCAGCGTCGCAGCGTTGTAGCGGGCGAGACTATGGGGTTTTGGTGGGTAATGGGTAGGGTATGGGATTGGGGGGGCCTGGGAGGGAAGTGGAGGGTGAGAGAAGGGGGGCGTCAGTTGGAAAGCTGCCCGAACGAGCCGTAGGCTGAAATCCCCTTACTGTTTTTTTTTGTTTTTTTCTTGTGCTGCTATGCGTGCAATGTACGATGCGCGATGCGATGCCTTCCCGCCATGGGCCTTCCATACCCTTTCCCCCGGTGGGGTTAGCGGTACATCTCGTCCGCCCGTCGACACGGCTCGGCCTATTCGCCAAATGGTACCGAACCTGCCGATCACCTCGCCTAGGCACGCAGGTAACCGCTTGCTGTAGTCAGTGTATTCAGTACTACCTAGGTAGATAGGTATGCTCGACGAATATGTGTGGCCCTCGTTCAAGAAGGAAGACCGAGAACAACGCACCACACACAAGGCGGCCGCTCATACCCCATCTGCCGTGGGGCCCTTAAAGCCCTGCTGAGAGATTAGAGATTAGAGCGGCTCATTCCATCTCATCCATTTGCAGGACCAAGATTCCTCGAGACATGACAAGACGCTGACTAGAGGTTGTGCAATCGGGGATGATGCAGCGAGCGTTATGTAAGGGGGGAAATCCCTCTCGGTCATCGGATGAAAGGTCGTTAACTCGTGCTGCATGCGTCGAGCGGCAGCCTATGTGCACGCATAAGGTAGTATTCAATGCACAGATACGTAGCGGCGTGTATGCTACAGACTTTTGGCATTCAGGCTCGGAACCAAGGAGGCTGACCGACCGAGGCTAGAAGGAGAGAGAGAAACCGGCAATGAACAGCGAAGATCTCTCTGCGAGAGACGACCCTACGAGCCAACCAGAGGTCGTCCTGAGCGGCAGGTGCGCATCACACGCTCTTCGCACTCCGCACCACCTCATCACCGACCAAACGGCAGGAACCAGAGACGAGGCAAAGGGGGGGGGGGGGGGGTGGGGGGGAGGAGCGTGGCAGTACCGGTATTTCAGGTCCGCTGCACTGAACCTTCCTTCTTCTGGTGCTGCTGCTACACACTACTGTTGCTGCATGTTGCTGCTGCCGTCAAATGTCCGTGCTCCGATTTGGCCGTAGAAGCCTTCCATATTCCATATGGCAGGCATCGTCGGCGCGAGGACACGAGCCGTGGTTTCATGCTGTGCTGGGGTATCCCCTGCAGCCGAGGGGACATTGTCGGTCCGTAGTCGTGTTGGAGGGCGGGAAGGAGAGCCATTTTGACCCCGAGGGGGGGGGGATCACCTCCTTCGTCATCCTGGGGCGACGGGTAATCAGGGCAGTTTAGGTAGGTACTGGGGAGAGAGCCCACTCGCCCGCATCACATCACCCGAGGTGGAATGAGATGCGATGCGACGCGCAACGCGGTGGGCAAAGACAATTCCCCAAGACATGGACAGAGATATCGCTCAGAACGTAAGACAACGACGGGACCGCATACATGGTAGGATAAGCGAAAGGGACCAGCCTGCTGCGTGTCAATGACGACTACACTGCGGCTTCCATGCCTTCACGGCTCTCGCTCGTCAATGCCTATCTACTACAGGTAGGGTGACACATACACATCCACACCCATCCCTCCAACTACCAGTTCCGTACTGCACGCGTGGAATATCTGTAAGGATGGTGCCCGGGGCAAGACAAGTATAAGACAGCAGCACAGGGGAAAATAAAGAAAAGCATGCCTTGGCCGGAGAGTGACTTCTCTTCGTTTCTTGCCACTAGATCGACTGCGATACGGTCCACCGCCCTCTTGCACGTGTCCCCGTTGAATCGTCGTCAAGCTGCGGTCCGAGATGCCAAAGCGATAAGATTGCGTAGTCTCACCGTTCAGATCTCCAGCTTCGTTATTTCGGAAACGGTCCGGTCTCCGGAACGAGAGGCGGCCCAAAAGAACGTGAATCCGAGCAGGTGGGGGAGAGAGAGAGTGTGTGTGTGTGAGTAGAAGGGCGACCGGGGGGAGCGCGGTGGGGTGGATGTTCCTCCTGTTTTTTTTTTTTCTTCTTCCCTCCTTCCTTTTCGTGATGGACCGTCTCCCCTTTCCCTTTCATTCCTTCCCTTTCGTTCTTCCTAGAGGGGGGGGGGGGAGGGTCTTGGTCTCGGACTCGCCCACAGGCAAGCGCGGCCTCGGCTCCCCTTTCCCTTTTCTTTCCTTCCCTTCCCTTCCCCACATTAACTAGCGGGCTCTCGTCATCGGAACACAAACCGACAGAATGGCCAAACGTTGAACGGTGTGGGCTGGCGACGTGTGGATTGCAATCGTGCGGCGGCCGAGTCCTCTAATCTCGCTCGCAAGATGGAGGAAGGCATCAGGCATCATCTCCGTGGCCCGCTGAGCCATACAGAACCCGTGGTGGGGAGGACAACTACCTACTAGTAGACTGTCATCTATGTACTGCGTATGTAGGGACCAGGAAGGCACGACGACGGGAGCATCCTGGCATCTAGGTTTGTGTCCTCTGCCGCGTGCGTATCCTCAATGCAACCTCTGCCCCTCCAGTACATTTTGAATTTTTTAATTTTTTTTTTAAAAAAATTTATACTTCCCTGGTTTCTTTGCTTCCTTCTGTATCGTTCGTTCGCTCGCCGCCCAGCCATGGCTGGCAGGCGGCGGGCCCGGGTTGTCCATGCCTGCGTTGATCCCCTCCAAGGGCCCAGCTCGAGATGAGAGGAACGGGTGATGAGCGTCGGGTACCAGGGCCATCCCATGAGATGGACGGGATGGAGGGGGTGTGTGCTTGATTCGCGGGCACCACACCACGTTGATCAATGCAAGCTTCTTTCTGCTTGCCTGCTTGCTTGTTGGCCTGCCCTGCTTTTGCTTGCGCGCTCTCTGCCGTCTTCGTCTGCTTGCTTCACCCGCCTGCGTCTTTTATTTTTTATTCCTGCAGCTTTGCGGATCAGCTGGTTTGCTTTGGGAGGCCCCCGGGTCCTCTTGCCCTCGGGAGAAAAGTGATGTTTGAGGCTGGGGACAGGGCCATTGAGAAATTCGATCGGGTGAAATGTCTATCGTGGACGAATCACCCGTCCGTCTATCCGCACGGAACTTGCCTCGGCACTACATACAGACAAACGACCTACCTATCACGCAAGTCTGCTCGCCGGCCGTTGGAGCAGCCCGCTCGCGGGCCACCTGAAATCGGGTTGATCCATCAAGGCCCAAGGCATGTGTACCTACTATAAGTCGGGGGCCGGTGGACGCTAGCCGCCGGGCCATCCTTCCCAACAAGAGCAGAGGGAAGGAACAGGGCAGAATGGGCAGGAGGGCAAACGGAATAGCGCCCAAATCTACCGGCTGTCCCCCCAATTCGCTCATCAACTTGACACAAGGTCCAGTCTAGTGATGCCCGACCCTTTCCCAGATCCCAGACATTTCTTTCCACTCTGGATATCAATCGTCAGGTCAGTCGCGCTAGAGGGAACAGAGAGTGACGATAGATGCCTAAGGTAGACAGATTCAAGACGTTCCGACAGCGCGGCAACCGTGGGGCCAGCTGGACCCGGTCCAGCGCTGCTGCCCTTTCGTCCAAACTTGCCCGCCCCGCGCCCTTCACGGTCGTTAGAACCTGTCTCGGCTGGTTCTCTCTCTCTCTCTCTTTTTTTCTTCTTCTTTTTTCTGCCCCTTCCCCCCCGGTCTTGCTTTTGCGTACCTGCATGTCTTGAACTATTACATCACGCACACCACCTACCGTATGGTGCATTATCCAGCCCACATTGATCCAGCGAGGCGGGTACTTTGTTGGCGTGTCTCACTTGCCATGCCGTGTGGAATTGCAGGTGCCTTGCTTCAGTGATGCGCGTTTGCATCGTCGCCCAGGACTTGGGATGATCGCGATCAGTCTCGACCACCTTCCCCTCACCCCCTCCCCACCCTGGCTAAGTGGTTTGATCTTGGTTTTGATCTGCCGATATCGTCGTTCGTCGCGGCGGCCGTCACTTGGGGAATTAATTGCTAGACTGCTAGAGAAACCTGGGTGGGTCCTCGGCAGTTGGGGCTGGTATCCAGCTGCGGTGCATTCATTGCAAAGTTTATGGAAGCACTTGCCTTGGCAGGGGTAATTAGACGATATTGGCCAATAGGCCTTCCGACAAAGGCAGGCTCAACTCGACGGGTTCGTGAAGGGGAAACCAAAATCTACTTGCCTGTCTCTGCTTAGCTACAAGGAGCGAAGGCAGCAAGCAGGGTAGAAGCCGGAATGGGCGGCCGGACTGTCCGTCCATGCAGGAAACAGACCCAGTAAGTTTGTGCCGGCTCTACCATCTGCAAAACAAACTCAAAAGAGTTTGTCCCCGAGTGCGCGCGCGCGCGCGTGTGTCTGCGTGGGCATGCTTGTGTTGTGTGTGCATGTGTGCGTGTGTGAGATTCTCGCGCAGACATGGGTGCTGCTACCCGCGACAGCTTGCTTCTTCCTGATACCCCCCCTCCATCGACCCCGTCTCCCTGCTATCACATCTTAAAAAGACATTTCGTCAATGCAACGAGTTGCGGCACTGCTCGTGTACTGCAATCAGTAACGGGGCAAAGAGAGAGCAGAAAGTGGTCCACCCCTTCGGGATGTGGCGGCAGCGGACCAGCCAGTCAGTCAACGACGCAGGTGCCGACCGCACCGTCGCCGCCAACCCGCCAACAACAGCGCAAACCCCCGCTCGGCACTGGGAAAAGCACCTAGCGCCGCCGTCAGCGCCGTCCCTTTCGCGGCCCCGTCCCTCATACAACGCTATGCGCAAGTACAGACGCGCGGCGCATACCCACAGACAATAGACAGGCCTTGCCAAACGGGATATGGATCGAAGAAACTCCATCAACCGCATTTACCGCCAAGCGATTGACAACCCACTCTATTCGAGGCGCACGCACAGAAAATAGCAATTTGGGGGGTCCACCGTCCAACCCGCAGCCCGCGAAGCGAAGCGTACAGTGGTCTGTGCCCGCTAGGCAACCTAGAGCCAACGGTGAGCCGCAGGCTAATATGAGTATGATACGAGCAGGTAGCCGCGTTGGCCAGGTACAATAGCAGCCAGAGACGCCAGAGGTCGGCATCATCGAGGTAGTGGTGCTACTGCTGTGCTTGAGTTACAGGATGAACAGACGGGCGAGCGGGCATACAGATTGTGCACAACGGTCGT